AAGAACATTATCCTAAGGGCTCTCTTCTGAAGAACTAGTTTATGAAGATGCGCTTCAGCAGTGTGACCCGGCCCCAAGCACAAATGCCATAGCTGATATAGGGTAAGATTAAAGAGCGGTATGGTTGCCATATTCGGACAAAGCTTATCAAAAAATGATTGACGGCGGCCCTCAAATGTAAAAAATAAAACAAGTTTAATCTTATTTAGTATCACATTTACGAAGAAACTGACCTTGTAGACGTTTGTGGGAAACGTGTCTTGATGAGACGTGACAACAACTGCGTGGCTACGAATTTGAACTGATTAGAATTTTCCTAACTTTGCCATGTGATTAAGAGTCAGTATGTGTTTCCTGCTTGTCGATAAACGAACCGCGGATTGGCCTTTCTTTTTGCGATCATCACTGATTGCCTTATTTGTAGAAAACCTTAACAAGAGATGTTTAGTTCGCAGTCTTGAAATGTCAAAGATTGTTCAGTCATTTCAAGTATCACAATTTCTAAGAAATTTTATTTAGTGGGCGGGATCGTTTCCGAAATATGTGTCTCAATAAGGTCGGTTGCGCTGGACAAGGAACACAAGTTAACAAAATGTGAGCAAACAGACGGTTTGAAGGTGAACTGCTAACTGTTAATGATAAGTTTTCTCTTTTTTCTGGGAGAGCAACATGTTTACTTTTTGAGTACAAATAGAACCAGATCAGTAGACTCATTTACGTGATGAGTAGCCATTCTTGTTTTTCTGGCAGTGAGGTACCAAGACTGCAGGACCAAATAAATTTTTTTTTCTTTTTCGATTAACGAGGTAAAACAGTGAGTGCTCCTAATCACGTTTTCATTCAATGTGTGGTTTGTTGGCAAACTACACACAACCCTCACTCGTCGAGCGAGGTTTATTTAAACGCAGCACAGTTATTAGGAGTTTTTTTGTTGATTGGAATCATCCAAGTATAACACGAGCCGTAAAACCTTTACTAGCTTAAAACGGTCCGGAGCTTTACAGTCAGATCGAATTAAACTACATTTTGATCCAAGAAAATTACCTAGTACAGGAATGTCCGATTACTGGTAAAGCATTCATTCCGATAATCAGGAATGAAATATCATTCTTGATCTTTACCTCTACTAGTTGTATCAATAATAAATGGCCGGCAATTACTCTAATGTGAGTCCTAAACCTCTTCACGTGAGTTGTAAAATACTGTAACATAAAATGGAGTTCTTCGTTTGTCAAACGGATCGATAACATGTCTCTAGTACAGCTATCAACGCAAGCCTGACCATGTGAAAAAGGTTTCTAACAAGCGGGGAAAGCATGGTTGTCTTTAGAAGGTAGAAACACATGTCTTTGTTCAGGTTTTTTAGAGTTCAGGCTGACGGCATGTTGTGTTGAAATCGATTATCGATATACCAGCAAAAATACAGCCAGTCGCGCAGAAAAGGAAGGTGAAGACCACGGCGGAGTACACCGTTAGGCCGGGTTCAAACGTCGAATTTCACATGAGCCGAACTTGATGCGAGAGTTAAATGCATGTGAATTGAGACGTTTGAATCAATTAAATTCAACTGTTGAATTAAATGCGACTTTCGCCGTATCTGCGACTGAAACAGTCGAAGATTTGACTTGGGTTCGACTTTTGGTACAAACGTCGCATCTCACATGTGCTGAACTTAATGCATGAAGTACGGGAAATTATTATGATTCATTTATTACCCATAATTCGCCAGAAATTCTGTGAATGCCATGCGTGAAAAAGCCAAAACAGCACACAAAAAATGGTGGGAGACGAAGGAATTTGAAGTTCTTGCTTTGCAAAGACAAATATAGTTGGTTGACGTGCGGTAATTACTTTTGTATGAGGTGTTCGGTTTTTGAACACGAAGACTTGGCTTTCCCGCCTGGCTTTCCTTGGTGGAAAGTGGGAAAAACTGTAGCATATTGTGGGTCGTGTTTCAATGAAATGATGGAACGTGAATCAAGTCAAAGTATCATGACGAAAAGCTAAGATGACGAAGCAAAAACAGAACAGAACAAAAACATCAGTTAAACAATTAAGCAATCGCCCAATAGACGTCTTTGTCTAGCAATTAAGTAGTGCGCCTGGGAATATTGACAGCGATCAGAGTTAAATTCGACAGCGTTAAATTCGACGTTTGAATCAAATGCCGTATTTAACTATTTTAGTCGACTAAAATATGAGTTAAGTTCGGCACATGTGAAATTCGACGTTTTAACTGGGCTCCTCGTTTCTGCTCTTTCTCGTAAGTATGGAAGTAGTAAACTGCATAATAAATAAACATGATGAAGGGAAACACGGAGAAGGTGTTGAAGGTTTGAACCAAGGTTTTCGAAGAATCCGTTGGTGCATAGTCGCCAAAGTAAAACTTCGCAATTGTTGCCTGGGGCAAAGCTTCGATCAACGTTTTGGCCAAACTCATCAACATGTTGATGGCATGATGGATCTTATCTTTCCTCTCGTCGCCACTGCGGTAGAGGTGCATTCTATGAAGGTAGAGAACAACGCGAAGGACTGTCATGGGCATTCCTAAGCTAAAGACTACCATAAAAGCGACATAAACACTCCCCTTAGGATTGTTGATGATATTTCCGTCCTTATAGTTGCTAGTAGTGAAAAAGTCCACTAGCCTGTCAGCTATTTCGTAGGCCACCAAGATCATGTGCCAAGAGTGACACATGAAGTTCTGACTTCCAAACGCTACTGGATCCATGCTGTACTCGTCTTTTCCTTCGTGATGAACGCGATTACAGATTATTGTGCTGCATTTGCAATGAATGAATTGCCAGTAATCGGATCCTTCTGTTTGCGCAAAGATTTTTGGGATCGCCGCGGGGAAAACATTGCAACTTGCTTGATAGCCTGAGTGTCAGGCCTTCCTAAGGGGCTAGGGGAGGGGGAGAAGAGAAAGGAGGGCGTGACACAAATCCATTCTGAGAACCGTGTGACACATCTAACATCTGGATGCGGCAGTGATTGGATAATACACAATACCCTCTGACGTCATCTCATTGACCGGAAGTAAATACGAGCAGAGCGATCGACATAAAGAAGCCATTTTGATTTTGGATGGACATTTAGATGTACATGCTATACTTTTATGGATAGACAGGAATTCAAAAAGGCTCTAGTGGCAGCCCTCAAGTTCTTCCTTGACTGATGTTGTAACGGCTTTTACGAGCTCTCTGCGTAGTGGTGAAAATTTTAGAGCAGCGTTTGCTGCTGCTTGATAATTTTCTAGGCAAAGGTGTTTCACCATCGCACTTCCAATTTATCCTCACAGCTCCTTTCAACCACCCGAGAAGACGAAGGGTAACCAACAAAAACCTAAAGACGAAGAAAATTATGGATTTGTTGGGTACAAAAGACAACCAATTTAACCATAAAAAATTGAAACCTATATGTATCATCTACCCGACTCACCTTTGAGATCGGCGGTAAATATGTTTCTACGGGCAAATTCATAAGGTTAGTTATNCAGTCAACGCCTGCTGTAACTCTGTCAACAGTTTGTAGCAATTCACAATCTTCCGGGCGCACTTTTTACAAACAGAGCCTTGACGATCTTGCAATGGCACAATTCCTAAAACACCTAATAATTCCGCAAAAACGAAAGGTTTTCCATTACAGGCCTTTGAAAACTCTTTATTGGAAGTCTCACAAAAAAGAGAAACCTTGGCAACGTAAGCACCGTTTTTTGATCGCAAATTCTCGTTGCAAATTTCACATAAAAAGTTCCCAGGGTCAGTAGCCATACCTGCAGCTTCGGAATTCCCGCTTTTTGATACGTGAGGCTGACAACGCAATGACCGGAAGTGATTTTGATTGGATGATTTGAATTATGCCGTGTGGGGATGGAAGGCTCTCGTAAAAGCATCTGTGTCAGGCGTTTCTTCCTTTCGCTCTCTCCCTTTCTCGCTTCTCTCTTACCCCTTTCCCCCAGAAACGCTCTCAGAAACGCCTTATACTCAGGCTACTTGGTCGAGGGAAATATATATGGCGAAGGTTTGTTTCGACGTTCAAATAAACGATTACTGGCATCTCATTCATTGAATGTCATGGATTAAATTCAGATAGATGTAGGCCGGGTATGGATGCTAACTAACCATTGTTGATTTCGAACTGGGTATGACTTATTTTTGTATGTTGCACGAGCTTTGACAAGCAGTTTTCTAACCTTCGCTGTGAATGTGACATTTTCCCAGAAATCGAAATATAAATTGAGAAATTCCGAACACGAGTGGTCTTTGCACTAATACGATTTGTTTTGAATTCGCCTGAATTCATGTCTGAAAAAATTATTTGTACTTGTTAATACGCTTCAATTAAATTTCTGCGACCTTGTTCCAAGAAAAAAACATCTAAGACTTAAAACCAGCCCAGCAGCTTTCTTTCTCTCTTCCTTACTTAATCTTACTTGACGCTAAACAACTTTCTCTTCTTGGAAAAATGCCAGCGTGATTAATGAACTGAAATAGCGAACGGTCGTAATTTCAGCCTTTCAGTGAAGTAATAGATTCTTATTACAATTGGTCATGGCTAAGTTCTCTTGAAGCTTTCTATGCAAAGAACTTTAGGCTCACGATTAATGAAGGCCTTAACGCTTCCAGAGAATCCTCGGCCTCCCCTTTTTCCTTCTTTATTCGAAAATGTCAGTTGGTTCTGGATTTTAAAACGCCATATGTGGTAACATAATAAATATTTTTTTCAGTCTCGTTCAGGCTTTAGTGACCCAGGAATGTCTGTGGTTAGAACTCACCCTTCGCTCCAATAAACAGGACGAACTTTTGAAAACGTTGTACTCTTAGTATACAAATTTTTCTCAGCAAAATGATCTACCAATGGCTTCTTAGAAGGCTGATAGAGCAGCTAGATATATTGTATATCGAGTCTGTGATTTTATGTGTGATGTCAGGATAAGCCGCATTAGCAGGCTACGATATAATAACTATGATCGTAATGCAGTGGCACACTGTTCTGTGTCTATGGGAGTAATTCGAAAACTATTCCACTGCGCATTAATTCAATATAAAGTAATCATAATCGAAGCGAAACATCTCTGTAAATAGCCAAAGAAATCTGTACCTTGCCGATACTCCTCCGAGTGACAGCAGTGATAACCCAGCGTCGGTCTGATCTCAAGTTTGGCTTCCCACCTGGGACTTTGTATGCGGAATAAATCACGCTTCGCTAAAATCTAAGATACTACTGTACATAGGTTGGTATTTGTGATAAGAGTAGTGTTTAAGGTTTGGTCTATTATCAAACTAACAAGTCAAAAAGTCCAGTTTCTAAAATTTAGATACTCTAATATACAACTACAACGCTCGCTTCTTGGGCAATGTCGTTCGCACAGCTGCATGTTTATTATTGTGGCGTGCAGAGGTTGTCGAAGGCCATGATCGTTTTGTATGCGAAATAAGCGCCCACTACGGATGTTATAAGTGTGATGATAGTAAGCGCCCACGGTGGATTCGGTATATTATCACAATCACATTCTTGACAGCCTTGAAAGTAGCAGTAACTGAGTAACGACTTATCTCCTTTGAGGAGGTAAATTTCCAGGCGCCAAGATTTGTGTATTGTTGACGTGAACGAGTAGGAAAACAGACTGCACGCACGTGAATACAACTGGAAAGGCTTTATTGAGGTATTTCCCCACGATCGTTTTTTTCAAACGTCGAAACAGCATGTTGCCATATATTTCCTCCCAGCTGCTTATTATTTGCCTTTTTAGCGATCCTAGAAACCTTTGCGCAAACAGGAAGATCCGATTACTGGCGACGCATTCCTTCCGATATCACTGAGGAATGAAACCCCATAATTGATGGTTTCCGCTACGAGTTGTATCACTAATAAATGGCTAACAATTACTCCACTATAAGTCCTAAACCTCTTCACTTTACCGCGATACTCTTTTCTATTTGGCTAACTGACGAATGAGTGGTAAATTACTGTAACAGAGAAGATGAAGTTCTTCTTTCGTGTAACGGATTTATAACATGGTTCTGCATACAACCCATCAACACAAACCTAACCTTGTAAGAACGTTTTTAACATGTGGTTTAAAGCATATTGGTCGTTAAATGATAGAAATACATGTTGTTCAGGGTTTAGAGTTCAGTCTGCTCACATGTTGTGTTAAAATCGGTTATTGATATACCAGCAAAGATACAGCCAATCAAACAGCAAAGGAGAGTGATAACCGCGGCGGAGTACACCTTTACTCGATTTTGCTCTTCCAAGTAAAAACAGGAGTAGATACAAAAATAGAAAGTAAACATGAGAAATGGAAATATGGAGAACACGTCGAAGACTTGAACCATAAGTCTCGCAGAATCCTTTGGTGCACAGTCGCCAAAGTAAAACTTCGCAATCGTTGCCTGAGGGAAAGCTTCAACCAAGGTCTTGGCCCAACTCATCCGCAGATCGATAATAACAGACTTTTCGTCTTCGCTGTCGTCGCCACTTCTGAGAAGTTTCAGTCTCTGATAGTAGAAAAAAACGCGTAGAATTGTCATGGGGAGTGTAATGGTCCAGAGCACCCCAAGAACCCAAGCAACACTCTTCTTAGGATTGTTAGAAATGTCTCCTTTCGCATAGTTTGAAACCATAAAAAAGTCGACAAGCCTGTCTCCTATTTCGTAGGCTGCCAAGATGATTTGCAAGGCTTCACACATGGAGTTCTGACCGATTCAGGCACACTGTACTCGTCTTTTTTYGTCGTAATGAACGCGACTTAAGGTGCTGCCGCTGCTGCTTAGTTTTTTCCGTTATCGATCGAAGACACTAAGCAATTTGATATCATCATGATAGATTAAATTCAGACTGAAGTAGGCAGGTATGGATGCTAAGCAACCATGAAATGTTATTGTCGAATTGGATATGATTGATTTCCATAAGTCGCAGGAGCTTTGGCTATAGTTTACTTAACCATTAGTGTGAATGTGACATTTGACCAGAAATCGAAATATAAATTAGGAAATTCCGAACAGGAGTGGTCTGTGCACTAATGCGATTTGACCTCTGAATTGATGTATGAAAAACTATTTCGACTCGTTCATGCGCAGTAAATTTGTGGGACCTTCTTTGAAAGAAAAAAAAAATCCCAAAACCAGCTCATGAGTTTTTAATTTAATCTTGAGTACTCTACACTAAACAACGGTCTATTGGAGAAGATGACAGCGTGAATTAATGAATTAAAAGAGCGAGAGGTCGTAGTTTTAGCCTTTTAGTGAAATGAAAGATTCTTAAATTACAATCGGTCACAGCTGAGTTCTTTTGAAGCGGTTTTCTGTGCAAAGAACTCTAAGTTCACGATTAATGAAGGCGTTGAAGCTTCCTGAGAATTCTTGGCTTCCCCTTTCCGTTCTTTATTCGAAAATTTTCGTTGGTTCTGGATTTTGAAACACTATATGTTGCGACATAATGTATATATTTTCAGTCTGGTTGAGGCGCCAGTGACGCAGGAATGTCTATAGTTAGAACTAACCCTTCGCTCCAGTAAACAAGAAAAACTTTTGCAAATTTCGCAACTTTTTAGGAAACTAACCTACCAATTGCTTTTCTGTGTCTATTGCACGAGCTTTGACAAGCAATTTTCTAACCCTCGCTGTGAATGTGACATTTTCCCAGAAATCGAAATATAAATTGGGAAATTCCGAACATGAGTGGTCTTTGCACTAATACGATTTGTTTTGAATTCGCCTGAATTCATGTCTGAAAAAATTATTTCTACTTGTTAATACGCTTCAATTAAATTTCTGGGACCTTGTTCCAAGAAAAACATCTTAGACTTAAAACCAGCCTAGCAGCTTTCTTTCTCTCTTCCTTACTTAATCTTGCGTACTTGACGCTAAACATTCTTCCCTGTTATAAATTCCCTTAGGCTACTGATTTAGTGCTGTACCCTAGACTGATTAGACTAATCACTGATTTGTGATTAGAGTGCTGTTTAAGGTTTTAGGTCTATGATCAAACTACCAAGTCAAAAAGTCAAGTTTCTTAAATTTATACACTCTAGTATACGACTACAAGACTCGCTTCTCAGGATTTTTGGGCAGTGTCGTTCGTACTGCTGCATGTTTATTATTGTGGTGTGCAGAGGTTGTCGAAGGCTATGATCGATTTGTATGCGAAATAAGCTCCCACTACGGATGGTATCAGTGTGATGATAGTAAGCGCCCACGGTGGATTCGGTATATCATCAGAATCAAATCTTTGAAAGCCATGAAAGTAGTAGTAATTGAATAATTAACAATTATTCCACGAGCGCGCGTTGGATATGAGATGATAGATAGCCAAGAATAAGAGCCGAGAAGACACCCTCTCTGACGCCCTCTACCAGCAACACGGAATAGAGGAAGGCAATAAGAGCCGAGAAGACACCCTCTCTGACGCCCTCTACCAGCAACACGGAATAGAGGAAGGCAATAAGAGCCGAGAAGAC